GGAATAATAAAGGAGAGCGGCTCCTGCTTTATATTGGCATCATTGACATTCTCCAGTCTTACAGGTGAGGAGCACATGGATCCCAAATGCAGACGGCCACTCACATTCGTGTTTTAAATGGGTTTGTCACCATGTTTTAACTGAAGCAAGAACTAAGGCTGGCTTCTTACTGCATTGGTTTTCAGATGGCATGTTTCCTAGATTTTTTGCTTCCTTCCCTGACTTTAATGTTACACCATTTCCCCAAACATAGTATATATCTCCCATGGAAAGCTGAGTCAGTCCTTGGAAGCACCACTGTAGAGTATGCCATCTGGCTGGCTGCTCGTGAAAAACCTGTGAGATGAGTCATGGTCCACATTGGGATTGAACTGGAAACATGTTCTCCTTTTCCCTGGAGGGAAAACAAGAGCGTCACTGTGTTCTGTAAATGTACTAGCCTGTGGACCTAAGAGGCTGTGCAGTGGTGATGAGGGTGGAGCTAGAAATGGTAGACCATGATTTTATTCCTGTAAAATCGAGGTGCTCATAAGGACTATATAATACTTGATTGACTATTTCAGTATTAGCCAATTTTAGCTACCCTTTCCAGGGTTGTCCATCTGTCCACCAGCTTTCCTTTTACAGTACACATTCTTGCCCCTAATTTGCCAGAGGCACTTAAGCTGCCCTGTTTCCATGATGAATAACTGACGTAGAAACAGCACTGGGCTCCATGCTGAACAAGCACTGTTGGGCCTGTTCTTTGGAAAACCAGTACACCATAGTAGGTATGCTTTCCCAGCTTCTGTCTTTTCAAGGTTTTTTAGTAGCATTGCCCCTTTAGTCTCTTAAAGTAGAAAGCTTTTAAAGTCATTCATTTTAAAACTGAGTATGTGATACAGATTTTTCTTGGCAGGTTTGTTAAAAAGTTGGAACATTCTTGGAAAGCGCTGGTACACGACGGGGTAAGTAGCAGTCAGCTAGAGGCTCTCCACCCTGCCTCTGTGTCTCTCACTTGTGATTTGCCCCCGTTTCTTCTTTTTATTTCATTTTGTATTTGTGGGTTTTACTCTTCTGCTAGGGTTTTAGTCTGGGGAAACATGGGTCATAGATTGGAGGTCCTCTTCTGGCCTCCCTGTGTCTAACTCTGTAGCCATGTCGTCTGCTCTGCAGGACACCGTATCAGTGCATCGCCCAGGCTTCTATGCTGAACGGTTCCAGCGCTTCATGTGTAACACAGTGTTCAAGAAGATCCCCTGTAAGTGGCTTCTACCAGATGACCCCACAATGGCTCCCTTACCCCAAGAGATGGGGGGCAGGACACCTCTGTCAGGGAGCTGCCAGGGTCAGAGGTCTCGTCTGCTCTACCTACATCCCGTGAGAGCTGCTTTTCGTCCTTGTGTCAGTCACTCTGTCTATCCCAGTCGTTTCCGAGTTGCTGCTTTCCCCCTGGCTCTCCCTACATGTATCATTGAGGTGAGGGCCATTTCTGGGGAATTGGTGGGATTGCAAAAATGTATCATTGCAAATGTAGGATCCACGCCACAGGCTAAGATAGGCAAAGCCAGGCCTGTTCATAACAGAGATAGGCAAGAATGTCACTAGTCTTCCATTTTTCATCTATGTCCCAGGTGCCAAGGAATTCTTAGACTAGACCAGGTGATTGGAGAAGCATTTACTCATTTTTGCTTAGCAAATATTTGTGCTCTCTTCCCTCAACTTTCTTGGTTGGGAAGTGCCAAGGTTCTTTTTTCCAAACTTTCCAGGCTGCTGCCACACAATTCTGCCTCTTTCTTGCCTCTCCTCATCATAGGCAGTAGTCATCCCTTAGTGAGGCAGAGGACCTAAGTATGCCAGATAGTCTTAAGGGGCCTGGGAAAATGCTTTTAGGCTTTTCAGAGTGATAAATAAGTGCAAATTATCACGGTGCTGTGTGTATAATGCTAGGAAAATGCAGTGAAAGGATCATCTTTGTCAGGTTTTACTGGAGGATGCTATTAAAGAGCAAGGGGATTATGGAATAGAGGTCATTTCATCAAGTGGAAGGAAAGCTAGAGGTTGCATGTAGGAGGGAGGATGTGTATGTGTCACCTTTTTTCTAGGTTTTCTCCTTTCCAGAGTGAAATGAACTGAGACCCCTACTCTGAAAGCAATTCCATCTTTGTTGATGTTAACCCTTTTTCCTGCTTTGTAGATGAACAAATTTGGGTGTGTGTGTTGGGGACACTAGCAATTTGTACCTGTGTCTTGGTGACGGTTTCTGAGGTGGTGCTAAGTAGGCTCTCTCGTTCC